GGAGACCAGAGCAGATGGGCTCTAGCTGCCCAGTATTCTTATCAATTTCACAGCAGGAGTCATGAAATTGACAAGGCAGCTGATGTGAAGGACACGCTGTCTACACAGACACTGTCACCCTAATTGCATAGCCCTGGCAGAAGTGGCGTTGTTATGCCAGTGTAGTGGGGCACTTATATCAGTGGAAGGAAGGCTGCAGTGTGGACACTGACACGATCAGGTGGACATAAGTTGCCTTATATCGAGCTAACTGTATGATACAGATCAGCCCTAGTCTCACATCTGTTCCTTCACTTGGATGAGCTGCTGAACATCTAAAAGCTGATGAAAGCCAACTGGTCTGAAAACGAGCACATGCTCATTTCCTTTTGGGTCAACATCTTCTTCCCTTGTGTGGAACAAACCACATTTCCATGAAGGTTTAGAAATCAGAGGGATTTCCAGGAACCAGTGACACTGAGGCCAAATAACCACTGGAGCCCAGGGATGTGGACGTCTCACTATTTCCTTGTGCTCCTCACTGGGTCCGTATGCATCTGCTGTCCCTTGGAAGCGGTTTGAGGCAGAGCCTGTCTCTCATGGTGTCTCAGGACAGCACCCAGCACAATGGGGGCTCTAGCTTGGCCCGGGCCTGCACAGTGCCTGGTGCGGCGTAGGCCTCCAATCTGCCGAGTGCTGTGCAGCGTCTGGCCTGAAGGGCCTCGATCTCACAAGAAGATCGAAATGGAAGGGAACTCCTGGCTCTTCAAGTCCAGGCCCCTACTATCATAGCCAACCATGCCTCAGAATCTGAGGAGCACCTGGCCTAACGAGTCTGGGCCCCTACTTCATTGATCCAGGCCTCTAACCACTGTCCTCAGGCAGTAATAATTGCCTTTGCCTCTCTGATTCTTCAAGGTCCTGTGTTTTTCCCCACTGACTCCAGACTCCTCCCACCTTTTCCCCCAGCCTGCTTCCCATGCTGTCACACATGGGCAAGCTTGCCTCAAACTGCCTAATGCAGGGCCTGATACTGTGATGGACTGAGTGCCATCAGCTGCCTGGGTAGAAATATGTGGGTTGTGCTGAGGCCATGCAGTAACTTACAGGGTTCCAGCCCAAACATCTGGGGAGAAAAGAGTATTCAGTTGTTATGAATTATCCTTTTTGATGCCATTTCATTTCCAATTGCTGCAACTTAACGTGTGTGTGTGTGTGTGTGTGTGTGTGTGTGTGTGTGTGAGAGAGAGAGAGTGAGTCAGACAGACAGACACTTCCAGCCCATGGAGAGAGATACTAGAGTGAAAACAAAGGCATAAAGGAATGAATCATACAGCTGCAGGAAATGCCAGTTTAGAGATGAGCAGCCCCCAGAGTCCATTCATTGCACGTTTGTTATACTGGCTAATTTAAAGAGCTTTTCCAAATGTATTCACTACAAGGCAATATGGTTCGGGGGTAGCCCCAGGCGCTAGGCACTACACTGAGATCAGGGAGGCCCCCTCCCTGCTAGGTGCCATACAGGCCCATCCCTCTGACCAATAGCAAGGGGAGCTACATGGACCTATAACGAGACAGGCCTTACTTACCCCAAAGATCTTACAGTCTAATACAACAGAGAGGGGAAACTGAGGACCCAAGAGAGATTACCCAAGATCAGTGACAAGCACACTGCCAGGCACTGTTCTGGGCCATAGGCTCTACATCACAAAGCCACCAAGGAAGAATTTTGAGCCCTGATTTTAGGCCACATGTGGGCATAAAGTAGTGACATCACCACTAGTCATGCTCCATAAATCAACTGTACACAGAAGTGACACCAAACACTAATTCAAACCCTTGGAAAATGTTAACTGACTCACTCCTGGTGCCATTTAGCATAGGAATGAATGACAGGCATCCATCTGTCACTACTGGCACCAAACTACTAATGCTACCCTTGCCAATTGTTTATGTGCTTAGATGCATCCTAAGGCTCTGTCTAGACTTGAACGTGCAGTTGGGATGAAGTTGTGACAGTTCCCCCTCCCCCCCGCAATACTTTATAAAACATAGTGTTATGAATGTCAATATGCATAACTCAGAGATGATTTAAACAAAATACCTCATGTAACCTATCAATGTTAATGTTACAATCTGCTGGATCTGTGTATCCTATTGTGGTGCATGTATCATTCTTGTATGTGAAGTTAGAAATATGAACTATGAGACTGCTTATAGTTTTAAAATGTGCTAATGAGAGCCATTACTGGTGCCAACTTAGCGACTTGGGGTACATCTACACAGCAACGTTATTTTGAAATAACTAGCTTTATTTTGGAATAACTTAGTCCGTACCTACACAGCATTTTGAAATAATGTTGAAATCCTGTCAAGCTAAAGGACTTTTTACTCTGGCTCCTGCAACCCTCATTGTACAAGGAGTAAGGGAAGTCGGAGGAAGGGTGCTCTGTTTTGAAATAAGTGCTGAGTAGACACTCCCTATTTCAAAATAAGCTACCCAATTAACGTAGTTCAATTTGCATAGCTTATTTCGAGTTAAGCCCTGCTGTGTAGACGCACCCTCTGTGATCAGTTTAAAGACTTGTAAACAGCCTTGTTTATCCTGTAAGTCCTAAGGTGATTGGACTAGTAAGACAGGTGCCCTACCATCTGACAGAGGGATTCCATTTTGACCCAGGTATTTTTCCATGGAAAGGGGAATGTAGAACAAAAAATTCCCACCCTGGGGAAAAGACTATTTAAGCAAGGGGAGGTTATCAGCCCTTTGTCTTCAGCTGGTATGACACACTCCAAAGAGGGTCAAGATAAAAGAAGTGGTCTCTGACCTGAAGATTATGCCTAGAACAAAATAGTTCTTTAGAGAATCTGCTTGCAGTAAGTTTTTCAGTGAATTAGAACTCGCTATGTGTTTTCTTTTCATTTTAACTTATTAACTTATTTTGATCTGTCTGTTTTCACTTGTAACTACTTAAATCCTACTGTTTGTACTTCTTAGAACATTTTTGTTTACTATCAGGCTCCGTGTAAATAATTGTTACCTGGGGAAAATGACCAGTGTGCATACCTCTCTTTCATTGATAAAGAAGGTGAACATCCTCATGAGCTTTCCTTGTGTAAAACTTATAAAGAGAAAGATGGATTTATTTGTGGTTTTTATCCCTTTTAAGGGTTGGTTTCCTGGGTGCTATGCCCTAGAATGGCATTCTCCCAGAGCTGAAGTGGTTCAGTGTCTGCACTGCTCTTCATGGCTGTGGAAACTCCAACTCTGTGCCTTGCTTGGGGGAAACCAGAGAATCTGGCCCAGCAAGAGAAGGTGGTGGGGAGCCCCAGAGAGCAAGAAGGCAGGTGCCAGTAGCATAATCAACACACTGGAGAATAATCCCAAGGGGTCTTTTGTGACTACACATCAATCATCCAGAGCTGTAGAAATAAATGAGTTTTCAATTCTGTGGCCAAACCAGGTAGGGGAAATAAAAAATTGGTTTTGGGTTGATCAGAAATGAAATTTTTTAGGGTTTTTTTTTTTTAAAGAAATGATAAAAAATTCAAAACAAAATGTTTTGTTTAATTTGAGATTTTTTTGAAACTTTTTTTTCCAACAAAACTGAAGAAAAAATGAGTCATTTTGAAATTCAATTTTTTTTTTTTTGTATTTTCAAAGTGAAACAATCTGGTTTGACACACATTCGTGAAACATTTCAGTCAACAAACCTGCATTTTATGGCAAAAACAAGTTTCACCTGAAAAATTCTGCCCATCTCTACTGTTAAACAGCACAATGGAAATTCTAATGAGGACACTTCAAACGGCTTATTCCCAGGATCCAAGTAACATCACTGTGAAGTGGAATGCAGGCATTTGACAAAGGTTTGTTCCCATTCCTGGCCATGACAAATAGGTCAATCCAAGATTTGCTATGCGTGTCTAGAGATTGTGGCACTGAAGTTAACTCGCTTTAACATTTTTGCAAATGCTGCCTAATAATAATACCTCTCCTACCTAGAGTTTTTCTTCAGTAGATCTCAATGCACTTTAAAAAGGAGGTCAATATGATTACTAGTTTGGTAGCTGAAAGCATGGGACATCTTGCAGGGGTAATTCTGGAAGTCATGTGGACCGAACAGCCAAAAATGGCTGAGAACTTAGAACATTGGCTGATAACAGGTGATGACTGAAACTGGTGGAACTCTCAGTCAAGCTCATAGCTATTTCCATCACTTAATGCTGACTTAAGTCACTCAGACATCAGTGACACCCAGACTCACAATTCTGGTACCTTATTCTGAAGATTCCCATTTTACAGATGAAGAAACTGAGTAGAAAGTGGTTTGCCCAAGGCCATGCAGCAGGCCAGTGGCAGAACCAGGAAAGAACCTGATTCCCAGTCCAGTGCAGTACCCATCATACTGGTGTACACTGCCTCATACAGTCTACAAACTTGAAGCAGTACGGTCTAGTGGTTAATGCACCAGACTAGGAGGCAGACTCCTCTGATCTAGCCCCAGCTCCGCCACCTATCTACTGTGGGACCTTAAGTAAATCACTTCCCTTCTTTGTGCCTCAGTTTCTCCTCCCAAGCTTTGTCTATTTAGAATGTGGTTTTATGAGGGATAGGGGCTGTCTCTTGCAGCACCCAGCATGGAATCTCTAGTGCTACCGTAAGGAAAAGGAGTTTGGTCTCGTGCCAGGTATCACACAGACCCATAATGAGAGAGTTCCTACTCTGTGAAGCATTTACTCTTAGAACTCAGCAGTCCTGAGTCCCAAACCAGTGCTGTAGCTAGTAGGCCACATGGTCTCATTTGGTTTTGTAATTTGACTGCCGAGGGGCATATCGATTGTGAGAGCGCATTCTTTGCAAGCAATATACAAACCAAACCAGATTATTCAGAGAGGTGATTACTCTTCCCAGACGGCACAGAGGGAATGCAACAGAGATGTAAAGTCAAGCAGCTTTAGAAGCCAACCAACGTGCCTGTGTGAGGAGAGTTTGAGTAAGGAAAGCAGAAGAGACCTACGTTCAGAGAGCCTGCGCCTCGCTTCTAGTGCATTGGGATCGTGGGCAAGAAACACGGCGCTGTCTCTGATCCAAGCTGGGTTTCCAGAAGGGGAAAAGCTTTATCCTGCAGAGACAAAAGAAGAAAGTTAAGGGAAGCAAAACAACAATAAGCGAGCCAGGGAGAGTTGTGCTGAGAATAGCAATTGGAACAGAGATGCAATTGCTGAGGGAATAGAAAACCCAGGGCTTTGGGACTCAGGGCAGGAAGAAACCTCTCTGGAATCAGTGAGTCCAGTCCCTGCTGTTGCAGGCAACCTCATAGGATCCTGGCCAGAAACTTATCAGTGTTGGTTCCTTTGCTCCTCCGGAGCCTCCTTCTCATTTCTAGCTAAAACTAATTATTGGCCCGTTTATGCCCATTTGTTCTTGTGCCAAAATTATTTCTGAGCTTCAGTAGCTCTTCTCCCTCCCTGAGATATCTGCTCGAAAGCATTCCTACAGAGCAATCAGATCCCCTCTACGCTTCAAGGGGAACGGACAGTCATCAGACCACGGGTTGCTCATCTAGAGAGGCTGGAAGGTCCAGTGGTGAGGATGTGAGCCTGCAGCCCGGGAAACCTAATCCACCATGCTGGGCAAGGCATTTTGGCCTGGTGTGTGCACACACACATGCACAGAGCTGGAGTGACAAGACAGCAAGGGGGAGGGGAAGGAGTGGAGGTATATTTGCATATAAGACAAAATCCCTCGTATCAAGACAGTGCCAATAATATCAGGATGTCAGGTCACTTTACACAGACTTATTCAGCAAGAGCTCCTCCTCCCTGCTTTCTTTGCTTAAGCCTGGTCTATGCACAGATTCTGTACCAGTGTAATGGGCCGGATTACGGTAGTGCCCAGGAGCCCCAGCTATGGACCACTGCACTAGGAGCTGTGCAAATACCAAACAAAAGATGGTTTCTGCCCCAAAGAGCTTCCAATTGGAGGGCTTTTGTACATAGCAAAACTGACGGGCGGTAGGGATTTTGGAATAACTTTTCTGCAGTAGCTTCAGGGGGTAGCCGAGTCAGTCTGTTACAGAAAAAAACCCAACAAATGGTCTGGTAGCACTTTATAGACTAACAAAACATGTAGATGGTATCATGAGCTTTCGTGGGCACAGCCCACTTCTTCAGATGACCGGAGTTATTCCACAAGAGCTCCCACAATGGATGCTCTTATTCTAGAACTAGGGTGTTTTTTTCATGGTTCACTTTAATCCACTTTCAAAACTGATTCCAGGACAAAAGCCTTCCCCAGGAATTACTCCACAATTGATGCAAATTATAAAGCTAGAAGGGGCCACTACGATCATCTAGTTGGGGGGGGGGGCAATAATTTTCACAGGGAAGCCACTTAATGAATTTTGGTAAGTGGCCATGGGCCAGCAGAAGGGGCCCGGCTGAGGACTAGCCTCCCCCCAGAATTGTCTGGGGCCAAAGGTTTTGAATTAAATACACAGCAAAGGGCTCGCAGCTCCTGGCCTCCCTACTATCACCTGGCAGCCTCCCGCATTGCTGCAGCTAGTTAAAGGGCTTGTTGCTCTGGCCCCTGCCAGACTGAGAACCGTGGGACATTTAAAATGGATCCTGCTGCCTCAGCCACTGCCTGGAAATTCTGTGGCACAGGCAGCAGGATATAAATTGAAAGTGGTCAGATGCAGCCCACAGGCCAGATCCAAGTGTTAGGCAGACAGATCTGGCCCCCGGGCCACATCTTGCCGAGCCCTGATTGAGTGCGACCTCCTGCACAGCAGAGGCTCCACAGGGCTGACCTGAATTAATTCCTAGCATGGACCTTTTAGAAAACAACCTCCAGTCTTGATTGAAAAGTGGCCAGTGCTGAAGCACCTACCCTAGCCCTTGGGAAATTGTTTCACTAGTTTAATAACCCTCATGGTTACTGGGGAGAGGGGAGCTTATTCCTAGTCTGAACTGTCCAGCTGCAGCTTCCAGCCGCTGGATCTTGCTGCCTTTGTCTCCCAGATTGCCTTCTAGCATTTTAAAGGCTACGTTTACACTGGCCACAATTTCCGGAAAAGCCATGCAAATCAGGTAAGTCAGGATAGGGAAATCCGTGGGGGATTTAAATATCCCCCGCAGATTTAAATAAACATGTCCGCCGCTTTTTTTCCCAGCTTGGGGTAAAGCCGGAAAAAAAGCGTCTAGACTGGTGCGATCCTCCGGAATAAAGCCCTTTTCCGGAGGATCTCTTTTTCCTACTTCGAAGGGCTTTATTCCGCAGGATCGCGCCAGTCTAGCGGCGGACATGTTTATTTCAATCCGTGGGGGATATTTAAATCCCCCGCGGATTTTTCCGGCTTTTCCCCAAGCCGGAAAAAAAGCGGCGGACATGTTTATTTAAATCCGCGGGGGATATTTAAATCCCCCGCGGATTTCCCTATCCTGACTTACCTGATTTGCATGGCTTTTCCGGAAATTGTGGCCAGTGTAGACATAGCCAAAATGTACACCCCATTGCCCTGCACAGACAAACCCTGCACAGTAAATGAGAGGCAACAGGTGGATACGGAGAAACGGCCAGCAGCTATACCAGGATAAAGGTGCCTTGCACCAATACAGCCGATTCTCCTTCCCACTCAGGAATTGCTTTACCAGCACAAGCACTTTTATCCGCAATAGGGGGTCCTGGGAGGCTCCCAGCACAACAGGGCCCCTGGTCTCAGTTGTAACTTCCAGTCACCACCATAACACAACAGCAGCTCACAGCCTGATCCGAATGATGAACAAGGACCAGGCAGCTGGGAGAAGCTATTTCAGTATTGAACACGACACCACAGCTGTTACCAAGCTCGAAATGCATGGAGGGAGAGGGAAAGGCTGGAGTCAGAAAGTAAAGGAATCCAGACAGGAAGAACAGGATTTAACAGAACATCAGCTGGGGCCTTTTCTCGCAGCTGTCACACTTACTGAGCTTGTGCAGCGGCGCTTTGACGCACAGAGACTGAACTGGCATCAACTGCCGGAGACAAGCTGACAGTCAGACACAAGAAGGGCAGATGCAACAATTCAAGAGACTCTAACAGGCACTATGGCTGTGTCTACACTGGCACCTTTTTCTGGAAATGCTTAAAACGAAACAGTTTTCCATTATAAGTATTTCCGGAAAAAGAGTGTCTACATTGGCAGGATGCTTTTCCGGAAAATCCCTTTTTCCGGAAAAGCATCTGTGGCCAATGTAGACGCGCTTTTCTGGAAAAAAGCCCCGATCGTCATTTTCGCGATCGGGGCTTTTTTGTGGAAAAGACGACTGTGCTGTCTACACTGGCCCTTTTCCGGAACAGTTTTCCGGAAAAAGGACTTTTGCCCAAGCGGGAGCAGCATAGTTTTTCCGGAAAATCAGCTGATTTCTTACAGTAAATCGTCAGTGCTTTTCTGGAAATTCAAGGGGCCAGTGTAGACAGCTCGCAGCTTATTCCGGAAAAGTGGCTGCTTTTCCGGAATAAGTGGCCCAGTGTAGACACAGCCCTTGAGTCTACATGAAAGCAGCAAGCATCTGCCGCTACTGCTGACAAGGCAACCAATTCTGGGAGTCATATTGGGACTGTCAGATTGGATCAGACCAGGAATCCAGTTAGTTCAGCTCCCTGCCCTGTACTGTTGTAGCTGGCATGTTGGGCCCCTGATCTCAGTAGGAGAGTCTGTGTAGCAGGATGAGGGCCTCCCCCCATCTCAGTCAAGGAGACTAGGGATGTTACATTTCAATTAATCAGCGAATCGAGTAGTCAATGGAATTTCCATTAACTACTTGATTAGTTGATAAGGCGGGGAGGTGCAGTGGGGAACCTGGCATGAGCAGGGAGTGCTTCAGACCCCTCTCGCGCTGGGCTTTCTGCTACACCTTTGCCTCTCCTGCGCTCTCCCCCCGTCCGCCCCCACACACTACGGAAACGGTGCCGGGGTGAACTGGCTTTTAAGCCAGCTCTCCCCAGCACTGGCTCCTGATCTCCCGCCTTTGCTGCCTAGGCTTATTGGGTAGTCAACTATTCGACTACTCTTTTACATCCCTAAAAGAGACATGGTTGGTGTCAGGTGCTGCAAAATGGAGTTCTGATCTCGGTTGAGTGCTGTGTGGCACCGATCTATGAGTCTAGGCATAATCTGGCAGAACTACATCTTCCATGATGCATCATGGTCAGGGTCTCATCAGAGGCATGTTCCCTCAGAAAGAGGAGAGAAAGTGTCATGGAGGATGTAGTCCGGGAAGGAAGGTCTCTGTCTCTGTCTCTGAAATAAAACTTCCACGAGGCATCTAGAGGACAGCCCTGCATTTATACCCTCCTCAGGTGTCCTGACTTTTTCTTTAAAAGGGCAAATTGCTCCATACTTTCTGTCCCCCCTCCACATCCCCCCATTCGTACTGGCAAGTCCTGCTGCTGGCTGGATCCCTGCTTGCCAGCTGCCTGCCTACCAGCAGTGAATGGGGCGGCTGTCCAGTGGCTGACAATGGGGGTGGGTGTGCAAGGCTGGGGGTGGGACAAAGATGCAGCATGTGAGGCCCTGGTGACTGATCACTGCAGCCTTCACTATGTGCTGGCTCGAGACATACCGAAGCGGTTGACAAAGGCTTCCCTTGTCGACCGCGGCGCGTCCAGACTGCCCTGCTGTGCCGCTAAACAGCTGATCGGCACAGCGCAGCGGCCATTTTTATGTAAATGAAGCGACGATCTTCATTTTCCTATATCTAGTAAACTCATCTACATGGCTCTGTCGACAGAGCCATGTAGTCTAGACATACCCCTAGGGAGCACAGGGCTGATCTGTCCACTAGGCACTTGCCCCTGCCAACTCTTGGGCACCAGGAACCATTTAATGAAACAGGTTCCCTGGGCTCCAGTCACAACGTGGCTTTAGGGCTTAACCCCTTCCTGCCCACACTATAGCTGGGAGACAGGAGGTAGCTGGGTTATGCTGGTAGGCAGCAGCAGCAGCCTAGAGGTCTTAGCTGCTTCTGGACACTATGTAAGTTGTGTTGAGCAAGTGCAAGTATAGACACAGCCTATTACTGACAAAAGGAGTTCTGGTTAAGCATATTGGCTCAGAAATGCAAGACCAAAAGGAGCTA